CTGGAGGTATTTAAAAAGGGTAAATTAAAAATTAAGCGTAGATGTGGCACTTAAGGACACGGATTAATGTTGGACTTGGCAGTGCTGGGTTAACAGTCAGACTTGAAAATCCGAAAGGTCTTTTCCAAGAAACAATTCTATAATTTCCAGACATTTAAACATTGTTTACAACAATTTTCACCTATCAAAGCAATACAGAGCCTATCCATCACTAACACCACAACTTCACATGTGCTAAAACTTTTGATACAAAAGGGAGAAGAACTTTGCAACTCTCAGACTGAGAGAAGAAATGTTAGATATGGCCTCTCAAAGCTGAGACAAGATGCACACTGAGATGAAAAGTGATTGCAATAGAAAACATATTCATCCTCCACTCACAAAGAGCTGGGAGTGCACCACTAGTAACAGGAAAAACAGAACAACACAATCAAGCCAGAATAAATCTGCATTTAAGCTAAATCATCTACTTACTACATTTCAAAGAGGCAATTCAGCCAATGTAAACAGAAATTATGCTCTGCTTTCAACTAGATCATAATCTAAAACCAACAGAAGAAACCATACACCACTGCAGGCAACACTGGAAGAACTCAAACCTGTCCTCATTGCTATTTCCAATGTATTATTCAAATAAAACCTACCAAATTACAGAAGCTTTTTTCATGTAAGGTGACACAACAAATCCATAGCATTCCCAAGACTGGATTGCCAGAGTGCAAGAGTGACTTTGCAGGTAGCCTAACACACTAACACCTCCAAGTATGCAGAATGTACCCACTGCTAGCACTTCCAACACGGCACTAAAACAAGGATTTTCCAGATGGGTAAAGTGATGGCACCGTGATGAAGTCTGCACCACTACTTTTCACAGCATATTCTAGGCAATTCTCTCAGCCCTAAAATAAAATGGAACAGTCTCCAGATTACCACTTTTTCAGTTGTCAGTCAAACACACTGGTTAACCAGTTATGGAAAACCAGATACATAGAAGAAAAAAAAAAAAATCTTCAGAACAGTCTAAGCTTAAGAATGATGTACTTAAAAGTACAGTAATTCCTAATATATTGAAATAGTTAATCACCAGCCTATTTTCTATTTTTCCATAACTACATAAATAAGTAAGCAAATAAAAGCAGAGAATAAGAAGGTTTTGGCTTAGTTTTCAACATTTTTTTAACAATTAACACAAGTTTAAACCCTCGGAACTCTTAGAACTTTTCAGGTTCTTTCAGGTTAAACAAAAATATATTTTAAAAAATACTGGCCATATTCATAAATAATCTCATCTTTATAATCTTTTATATAAAAGGTCCACATTTTCTATTAAATAGAACTGCCTCTCTTTCCAGAGCTTTGCAGTAGTTTACTGACAAGTCTAAACAATTTCAACTTCAATAACTTTTATAATAATGCCAATGAACTCCTCTTTGTCTGCAAAATGGAAATGGAGCTACCTAATCCAGCCATATAATAAATAATTTACCATCCATTATTAAAATGTCATCTATTGCATGCATGTTTTCAAAATTTATCATCATAAATCTAGCATTCTATGCAACCAGAGCAACTGCAAACATTTTATATACCTCTAACATCCAGAGCCATGAAAGATGGGGCTGATATGACCTCTCAGATGTTATCTAACAAAATAACAGTATTCTCTGAATTGGGAGACAGTGCAGCCTTAAAACAAACTTCATAATTTAATGATGACTGGAGCGTGGTTCCACATTTATTCTAAGAACTGCTAAGATGCTGGAGAGCACACCCCTGGCCAAGGACTTTTGCCACCCCACACCCTCCTGACTGCTCTCCTATCCGGACATAGGGGCTCCCCTTGGGAATCAAATGACTGCACTGTGATGGGGACCAAGGCCAGGGGACAAACCTCTGACTGGACTGACACCTCATCCTAGATGGCATTTGTTTCCTGCCCCTTGCCAGGAGAAGCAGCAGGACAGTTTTGGCACAAGGAGGGCCATGCTGCCCCCAGCACAGAGGGGCTGCACTGCAGCCCCTGCCTGGTCCTCGTGGCAGCAGAGCTGTGACAGCCCCTTGAGCCAGCACTGGGCCTTGGTGCCAATGCAGAAATATCTCCCCACACACTGGGGGCATAAAGCTATTTATGCATTATTTCTACTTGCATGTGTTTTCTTTTTTTCTCCTCAAATAGTTTTACCCAGGAGAAGGAAAGAAGAAGCAAAGATATTTTCTCATTTAAAAATGCCTTACTAAGTCATAGGCCATAATTCTAGTAAACTTAAGGTATATTTATTTACTGGAAAATAAGTTTGCCTGTATATTTAATGTAATTTGATACACATCAACATCTCTGTAACCCTGGACCTTGTGTCTCTCCAAGAACAAAAGCATTTCACTTTCCATCATCTCACTCAAACACTTCATCTCAGTAAAAGGAATAAAAGTCTCCTTAACAGAATACATGCAATTAGGAAAATGCAGATGGCTGCTCATGTAAGGCATGTCCAGAGATGTACCCACAGTGTCCAGCCCCTTTTTTTGTTTTTCACACATTCCACTGCTCCCTAACAAGAGGGTGTGACAGAAGCAAGCAAAGGATGCAGGGCAGGGCTTACTGATGAATTTAGGAGAGGCTGGAGCAGCTGCTCATCCACAGCATTAGGTCAAATAATAAACAGCTCTTGAAGGTGCAGGACCTCTGAAGACAAACCTTGCTCCACAGATATCTGTCTTGCTCAACTATGCAACACAAAACACAAAAAAAACCCTCCCAAAACAGTCCCCAAATCTCTAGGCAATGCTCTGCTGCTTTCATACACAGCCTTTGAATAAAGCCAGTTGGAAATCACGGGGAATCCCTGATCAGAGCTACATCTACTTTCTGTAGAAATCCATGCAAATAAATAAACTGGCATCTTATAAGCCTATAAAATGTTAAAACTGCCTCATATTCAAAAATAGTTCAGGGTTGTGGTTCTCAACCTGCAACCTAGAAAAAAGCATTTACATAATCAGTTTATCAAGGGAAATTTCTGAAGAAAATTTCCATTAAAGTTCGAAATGTTATGTAATTACTGCTTAGAAGAGGATAATATAAATATTCCTATCAAATGTCCTTTGCATTATTTATTTTAGATACTTAGATTTACTTTAAGAGAAAAACAATAAGCATTCTGGTGTCATAAGCTGACCAGAGATACTGTAAGTGCAGATAAAATCTTGGGGGACAAATTGCTCAAACCATGTAATGCTGTAATTCACTCCTTAGGACGATAACTCAAATGAGTGATTGGTTTCCAAAATGCCATTTTCAGGTTTGACATCAAGGAAAGAAAAGACAAGAGACTAGAGGAGTATTCATACAAAGAACTACGTCTCTAATACCTATTTTGTATTTCAGCAGTTCTTACTGCCTGACTATATTAGATCTATGCTAAAGGAGTAACCTGGATATATCTTTCTAAGGAAAGAATGAAGAGGAAAAAAGATTGAAATAAGGCATCCCAAATTTTCAAAGGGCCCTTTCTTCTAATCTATCTGCTTGGATAATGCGTCCAGAGTGGCATTTTGTAATGACAGCAACTTTCCAACAAATCAATAGTTATTTAATTCCCAACAAGCTCTCGAGTCCATTAAACCTGATTACATTCACCCATTTCAGTTGGGTGCAGTTATTTTTCCTACACCGGCACTTAATCTATAACAGGAACTTATGAGAACTTTCAAAAGCAATTTCAACATCAATCAGCATAGAGTGAAAGGCACGATTTGCTTGTAATTATTTATTGGACAGGACGGCAGAGGGTCTGACTGAGCTCCAGCGCCCGACCTTCACCCCCAAATTCTAATGGATGTGAAGGCCTGCTGGATGTGTCTCACTGCATAAAAAACAGCCTCAGCTTGCATGTCCCACAAGACACAGATTCCCAATACCTGATAATGGCCACTGTGCAATGCTATATTTCTATTTTAGACATATGTGTCTGATATTAAGCCTGAAGTGAAGAACACAACCCACAGTCTTCTGTTACTGAAGGGACCTATATGGAAACCACCTGTCTGATGCTGTGATTGCCCCTCTGTGTCAGCAGTGTTGGAGTAAAGGAGCACAATGAGTTTCCCTCTCCCTCACAGGTAATTTGACTCATCCCCAGCACAGCAATGCCCTAACACACCTGTGTCTTGACCCTGTCACTGCACAATATCCAACAACTGCCACATAGATGGAACAATTCTATCAGAGTTTAGAAATGTTGACTTTTCCTAATGTCCTCTAATACCGTAAACAACAGGATACTTATTGCTTAATTAGCATCTACACCATCTATTCAGAATCACGAGTCTAACAGAGGAAACTTCAGTAGCACCACTTTTTGATAAAAATAAAATAATAGCAAAAGCAAACAACAACAACAACAACAATCTGGTAGCTGCCAGCTGACTCCTAAATATACAGAACTCTTGCCCTGCAGCAAGATCTTACACTTTGAGGGCTCAAAGGAATTAAGAGGATGTATATAAATACTCTTTGCAGGTATATTTCTATTCACACAAAACCACAATCCTTTTCTCATTCCGTGTGACGCATAACATATGAATTATTGCATATTTAACACTATTCCTATTTGCTGTGCTAAAACACTTAACCTAAACACATCATGGTAAGTTACTTTGTCTTCTGACCTGCCGTGGGAATGCTGACTCTCTCAGAAACCTAGAATGGATAGCAAATCCTCTGCCCTGTGGTCAACCTCGTGAAGCAAAGGCATGAATGTTAAACAGCAGACAAATCAATACAAGCAAATATAGCTCAACTACACCATTTATTCAGCCATGAGAGATGTCAATACACAGATTAGGGTGATCCATCTTTTTGATTTCCTACTGTCTTCTCACTGACTACACGAGAGCTTTTGCCTGTATTAAAAGTGTTTGCTTTCTCAACCATAAAAATTCCAATTATTGCTCTAAGTGCACTAGAGTTAAGTTGCTTGTTGGAAGCGGCCTTGCATTACCTGAACAAGTCCAGCGAAGTATGGTGCTGCCGGCAGAATCATTGGCACTCCATAGGGATGTAGCAAAACTCCTTGAGACGACAACATGGTTTAAGTGATAGTATTACTCCCACTAAAGCTAAACACATCAATTGAAAGTTAGGGGAAAATCTATATACCAACTTCTTCCAAACTCAGAGCTAGAACCAAATAACTTCTGTCAGGGGCAAAGCCCACATCAGCTGTAAAAAAAAGAAAAAAATTGACGTCAGCAACACTTAATGTTAAAATTTTCTTCAGAGACAACAGATAGAGACAACAGCTGCAAACCTAACTCTACCCAAAAAGGAAGGTGCTATTTTGGGAGCAGCTTAAGTAACATGACTAGCCAACTACTCTTTATCAGTTCAGATTTTTAAGTACTAAACACATAGAGATCAAATTCTGTACAGATCTACTGATTAGAAATAATTTCCCGATCAATTCTGGCACATACATGACAACAGTTACTATCAGAAGCCATTTTCAAAACAATCAGATTTATCATGATTGCATAATTAGACATTTCCCTGTATTTATAAGCTGTTAAACAATGTTCATGTGAGCATTCACACTTCACTCTGCAGTACTGGGTACATTCTGTTTCGATTCATTATTTTTCTTGTTTGTTTTGAATATGTGAGCTAACTAACACAAGCTAACGACTTCTATTAGTGTAAATTATATCTTAATGGCTCTTCTAACCTTTCACAACATGTATGTTGTTAAATTGATCATAACTATTTTAAAAGAACACATTTTCCCATTAGAGTATTTCAGCTCTGTTCTCCAAATCAACTTATGCTACCGGTGCAAGAGACAAAGGACTGAAATTTAGGCTGGTTTCCTCCCTAAAAACAGATTTGACTTTAAATGTACTACTTACAAGACATTCTCTTCCACAGCTCATTTTTACTTTAGACAAAACCAACTTAGTCATTAACACCTGTTTTATGTGCTATGTATCTTCTATTGCAGATGTAACTAATGACAAGAATTACAATTGAGCAAGACTTTTTTATTTCAATAAAGAATTAGTTAGGTACTTACAACTTCATGTTACAAGTGAAATAAAAAAAAATCTCCAACAGTCTTCGAATAATCAGGGTGCTTCACACCACTAATTTCAGCTACTTGATTTTGTTGCATAATTACTTTTCCAGATAACTAATTGCAGACAAGATTTGATGTGATACTTAATTATTTAATGTCACATTTTGACCATGGTGGAAGGTTTTCAGTAATTGATTCTCGTGTATCACGACGGCCGTGCTGCAGGATTTAGAAATCTCCCTGAGCAGCTGCCTGCTGGCCCTCCCCACTGCCAGCCTTACCCCCCTGCTAACTTTAGATGTGGAATTGTGACCCTCAGTGATGCTCTCTGCAGAAGCTGCCAGTGAGGCCAGCAATTGTCACATGATGAAATGGTGTTTACCCCACTCCAGCTCCTGTTTCAGGACCACTCCACTTTTCTGTTGGGGATGATGCTGTTCTCACTGGTTATCTGACCATGCTCAGCTATAAATCCTATCTCTTGCTCTTTTTCTTACCAAGGAAGAGAAACTCTGCAGTTTAATTATTAAGCAGGCTGACACATCATGGATTTTTTTCAAAAGATTGTCATCAATTCCAATACAAAATCAGTCACTAACTTTCACGGAGAAATTCATAAATAAAACGTATGTATGAGAAAGCAAGTTGCAGTCACAACTCACTTCAAAATATCTAATTTATATTTAAAAAAAAATCATTTTAACTACTGCTTATTTGTTTCATCCAGCAGAGTGAACTGCATTTGAAAAGAAAGCAGATTTCTTTCACTCAGGAATGGAGATTATAAAATGGATTCTGCAAGCTTTACTCAAATGACTCCAGTGGGACAACTGACATAAATACAAGACTGTTAAATTGCTCTGTAAAATACCTGGTAGGTTTTTTGTTTCAGCATGTATATAGTTGATAAGATGTTAGAAAACCTGAGGAGGAAGATTTGTACAGGAAAGCGCAGGCTCAAGGGAAGCTTTTCTGTGATCTATATTGGGACAGACTTTTTTAACATTTTCTTTAATTATTTTGGCACGAGGCAACCTGCTGATGAAACTTCCTGATGACACAAAGTTGGAAGGTACTGTCAAGACTGGAAAGGATAAGGATATTACATAGAAAGAACTGCTAAAACTTATGGGCTGCATTAATAGAAATGGGATGGAATTCAATAATACAAAATGCAAGATCATGATTCTCCTAATAACAGAAACTTCAGAGCTAAACTCAGGAGGAAGAAAAGCAGTATCTTACTGCATCTGTTTAAAGAATTTGAAATGCTAGTGAGATGCAAATAGGAAAAGGAAAATTAGCAGTATTTTTTAATTCTCAATTATTTCTTGATTTCTTAGAGGTACTTCCAACAGACTACAGTTCTCTTCATCCACATTAAATAGAAAAAAAAAAAGGTCAAATTCAAATACAATCTTTGTAAAGAAATTCCTTTTTGTGTTCAGGGGAATGGAACAACTATGTTGCAACAGAAATCTAAATTTGATTTGTTTATCCCAGCAAAGCAATCTGTGAATAGGGAAGAAAACAGTAGGAGGAAGAGACTGTTTAAGCTAAGGACAATCCTGACACTCTAAAAATCAAGAAAAACCTAGTTATGAATAAATTTAGGCTGAAGATATTTTTTTCAAGTTTGGGGGTTTTTTTGGAAGTATTTTGATCTTGTCTAGTGAGGGTCTAGAACAGCCTTACAAACCCACAGTAACGAAAAAAAGGGTGGCTTATAACAGACAATTTCTATGAGGCAAACAGTAGTGGTAGTGTGAACTCAGCAGCTTCCAGGAGGACACTTCCAGCCTTTAGCAAGCAGAATAAACATCCCAGAATAATGAAAACATCAAATGTCTACCACTGCTATTTTCTACATTGCAGGCAGTAATATACAAAAACAAACGTTGAAAAGAAGCCATAATTAGCTGTTTTAATGCAAGGACACTTTGCTTGCCTCACTATAACAACACGCTTGTAAATGTCTGTGTGTGGGGCACTCCAGACCCAAGCTCTGACCTGGTACCTGGGCTCTGTGCTGATGTCCCAGCTACCTAAATTCTCACAAACCTCTGTGAATCAAAACCACAGAAGCACAACAGAGGTTCACTTCCATCTCCACCTCCTGCCAAGCTCACAACTTATGCCAATGCCTCTACATCAGCTCCACCACTCTAGACCAACACATTTCTTCTCCCTCCCAGCCACACAAAAAGGAAATTTCACTTCAGTTTCACAATTTGCCGTTAGTTAGCATCAATGGTCACTCCTGTTCTGCTAGAACATGTTGAACAAATGAAATTTGACCACAAAGAGTGCTGAGGACTGAGAGAATGAGCCAGAAGAGTATTGATAAAGCTGAGAGCTCTGTTTCACTTGAGCAGGACCTTTAGCATGGTTAAGGTCAAGCACGGACCTGAACACTGCAGGGAGGACGGGGGCAGAATGGTCAGGACACATCAAGCACCTCTCTGATGTCCCTGTGCTGCCAGCGCCCACTTCCTGCCTGCTGCTCCTCCTCCCTGCAAAAAATCATCTCTGTGTGTGGGTGGAAAAGGGGAGATCATCTATTTTAAACAACTATACAGCTTTCACTTCCATTACATTCTAGAAAATTATCATGCTGTTAGGAAAAAAAAAAAAACACAAAATGACATGTGAAGCCATTTTCAGTGTGCTCATAGAGGGTATGTTACTTTCAGCTGTTCCCAAACCCAGTTGGCTTCAGTTTCTTTTATTAACAAATTTCATGGAGTTTCTGAAACTAAAAATTGATTTCAGCAATGAGAAAGGAAGAAATAACAAGAAAAAACACATGAACACTAGCTTAATATGTAAAATGTATACACAAAAATCTAAGTTAATCTTATTTTTTTCAGCTATGCAGAATTTTGCAAAAAGGCAGGTTTTATTAATGAAAATCTGCTTTTAAAGGTGAAGTGCATAGGTTAAGCAAGGTAGGGTAGGAGTAGAAGGCCACAAAATTCATAAGTATTTCAGGCACAGCAATCTAATAGCACAATCTCATGTTTTAGCACAGAACTGAAGCTACTGACAGGACTGCTCTAATAGCAGTTTCATTGAAGGCTTGCTAAAAAGTCATTTAAATAGGAAGGAAATGGAGACTGCTGTACAGTCCGGATGCACAGATACAGAAATAAAACTAGAAATATGCCTGAAAACTGGGCTACACATTCAGGCAGAGCAAGAAAAATGAAAATGGTGCAAGAAAGATGAGAGCTTTGATCACCCCTGCATATAAGAAGAAAATAGCACATTAGACAATGACCAAAACGCCTCCTTAGGCAAAACCAGATGCCTAAGTTTTGCTACGATATAAGGTGGGGGAAAAAAAACAAAAACAAACAAACAAACAAACAAAAAGACTTAAGTAACTTCCCTGGGGCCACAATGCCTGGAAAAGGCAGATCCCTGCAATGCAGTCATCAGCCAATCAATGATGTATGCTCTAATCAGATTCTGACAGAAGTAATCTATTTAGATCATCTTCCTGCCAAATAATTAATTCTTCTTAATGCCTGTATCTAGTTCAAAATACCACAAACAATAGTTCTTCCAAATGCTGTACAACACCAATAATTTCTACTTCCTTCCTATACTGGCCTAACTTTCCCATCTCTCAGGTCATAAATAATTCAGGTACCACTTTGGCACCCTCTTCAGAGCTTATGCTATGCCATATTTGAATCTTTTAAGTTCAAGTCTCCCATGTCTGACCACCTTTCCTATTATCCAGATGTTCTCCATTTTCTCTTCAAGGTTTCTCAGTGGCTTTCTGGTACAGGAAACCCCAAAACTGAAAGGACAAATTGGTTTCTGAGTCTCCTGGTAATCTCCCTCATCCACAGCAACTTTAGATTTCTGTCTCTAAAAAAGGATCACCAGACACCAGCACGGCAGATGCTTTGAAAGAGGCGAGTTGCTGTTGATTAGCATTGCCTGAGGTGATGTGGCATTAAAGGAAATATTGATAGACAGAAAAAACTGTCCTGCACATCTTCCCCCACCCTGCCCAGCACAGCTGCTGACACTGTTAGAACTGCTGCACTTGTCTTCCCAAGACTATTTCCACCTTTCTGCAAAATCCATTTAGGGCCAGAGGCTCTTGGAGTGCTCCAGCAGCACCATCCAGGCTCTCCCCCTGCCCTCAGCTGCTCACTGTTCCCTCTCCTCTGCATGGAGAATGTGCAGGAGCTGCTCGTGCCACGGAACAATTCCCCAGCCAGCTCCTCACCCTCAACAGAAGAGCCAAAACAAAGGATATTTTACTGACTCCTAAAGCAGAAAATGTCACCTATACCTATA